GTAATCAGTGTTTTTCCTGTTAAGGTTTTAGACATGAAGATTTACCAAGAACAATTTATGGTTAAAGCAGAGGAGATGCAAATTCATTTGTGCAATTACACATCTTTTCAGTAAAATAGCTATCATAATCTGTGAAAAATATGGTTTTTGATAAAGTTATATTTGTTAAAGAAAAAAATAGACTTTACGCAGGCCAAATTGATCCTCTTGACAAAATCTCCTCTCTTAACTAAGTTATTTTCTCTTTAAATAAATATTTACTAGGAAGGTAATGAAACAGAATCATTCCAAGACCACTGTAATTTTTCTCTTTACTTTAATAGGATAGGAAGTTTTTGATTACATACCTCTCTCTATGTTATTAATAATTTGTTTTTAAACTAATTTTATAAGCATATTATTTCTGAAAATTTTGTTTTACCATGCATACATATTATAATACTTCTGTTAGACATTTAGAAGTCTGAAGAAAAATTTAATTAGTGAACATTTTATGTAGAAAATAATGCAACTATTACTATAAGCATATAAAGGGGAGAAATATTTCATATTTTAAAAGGCATGTTTTAATCAATGGCCTATTTATGTTTGTGTCCCATATATGCCCTGGATTATAACTACAAGCATACCTCATTTTACTGCACTTTGCTTTGCTGCGCTTTGCAGATACTGGGTTTTTTACCAATTGAAGTTTTATGGTGACCCTACACTGAGCAAGTCTAGTGGCACCATTTTTTCCAAAAGCAGTTAGCTCACTTTGTGTCTCTGTGTCACATTTTGGTAATTTTCTTAATATTTCAAACTTTTTCATTATTATTATATTTGTTATGGTAATCTGTGATCATTGATTTCTGATGTTACCATTGTAATCGTTTGGGGGCACCATGAACTCACACCCATATAAAGTGAACTTAATCGATAATGCTGTGTGTTCTGACTGCTCCACTAACTGCCTGGTTCCCATCTCTCCCCTTCTCCTTAGGCCTCCCTATTCTCTGAGGCACAACTATATTGAAATTAGGCCACTGAATAACCCTACAATGACCTCTAAGTGCTCAAGTGAAAGGAAGAGTCTCATGTCTCTCACTTTAAATCAAAAGCTAGAAATGATTATGCATAGTGAGGAAGGCATGTTAAAAGCTGTGATAGGTCAAAAGCTAAGCCTCTTATGCCAAACAGTTAGCCAAGCTGTGAGTGCAAAGGAAACGTTCTTGAAGGAAATTAAAGGTGATTCCCCAGTGAACACACAAATGATAAGAAAGTGGAACAGCCCTATTGCTGATATGGAGAAAGTTTTAGCGGTCTGGATGGAAGATCAAACCAGCCACAACATTCCTTCAAGCCAAAGCCTAATCCAGAGCAAGGCCCTAACTCTCTTCAATTCTATGAAGGCTGAGATTGATGAGGAAGCTTGAGGAGAAAAGTCTGAAGCTAGCAGAGGTGGGTTAATGATGTTTAAGGAAAGAAGCCATCTCCATAACGTAAAAGTGCAAGGTGAAGCAGCAAGTGCCGATGAAGAAGCTGCAGCATGTTATCCAGAAGACATACCTGAGTAATGAATGAAGGTGGCTACACTAAACAACAAATGTAGATGAAATAACCTTACACTGGAAGAAAATGCCTTCTAGGACTTCCATAGCTAGAGAGGAGAAGTCAATGCCTGGCTTCAAAGCTTCAAAGGAAAGGCTGACTCTCCTGTTAGGGGCTAATACAGCTGGTGACTGGAAGTTGTAGCCAATGTTCAGTTACTATTCTGAAAATCCTAGGGCCCTAAAGAATTATGCTAAGTCTACTCTGCCTGTGCTCTATAAATGGAAAAACAAAGTCTGGATGACAGCACATCTGTTTACAACATGGTTTACTGAATATTTTAAATCCACTGTTGAAATGTACTGCTCAGAAAAAAAGATTCTTTTTAAAATATTACCACTCATTGACAATGCACCTGGTCACCCAAGAGTTCTAATGGAGATGTATAGTAGGTTTAATGTTGTTTTAATGCCTGCTAACACAACATCCATTCTACAGCCCATGGCTTTTGACTTTCAAGTCTTATTATTTAAGAAATACATTTTGTAAGGCTATAGCTGCTGCAGCCTGTGATTCCTCTGATGGATCTGGACCAAGTAACTTGAAAATCTTCTGGTAAGGACTCACCATTTTAGATGCCATTAAGAACATTCAGGGATTTCCCTAGCTGTCCAGTGGTTAAAACTCCACTCCTCCACTGCAGGGGGCACAGGTTCGATCCCTACTTGGGGAACAAAGATCCTACATGCTATGCGTTGAGGCCAAAAACAAAAAAACACACACACACCTTAAAAAAAAAAGAACATTCGTGATTCATAGGAAGAGGTAAAAATATCAACATTAACAGGAGTTTGGAAGAAGTTGACCCCAACCCTTATAGATGACTTTGAGGGGTTCAAGACTTCAGTGGAGGAAGTAACTGCAGCTGTGGTGAAAATAGCAAGAGAATTAGAATTAGAAGTCAAGCATGAATATGTGACTGAATTGCTGCAATCTCATGATAAAATGTGAATGGATGAGGAGTTGCTTCTTATGGATGAGAAAAGAAAGTGGTTTCTTGAGATGGAATCTATCCCTGGTGAAGATGCTATGAAGGTTGTTGAAATGACAGCAAAGGATTTAGAATATTAAATAAAGTTAGTTGATAAAGCACAGGCAGGGTTTGAAAGACTGATTTCAATTTTGAAAGAAGTTCTACTGTGGGTAAACTGCTATGAAACAGCAGTGCATGCTACAGAGAAATTGTTCATGAAAGGAAGAGTCAATTGATGAGGGAAACTTCATAGTTTCATAACTTCATCTTCAGCAGCCACCACCCTGATCAGTCAGCAGCCGACAACACTGAGGCAAGACCCTCCACCAGCAAAAAGATTATGACTGCTAAAGGCTCAGATAATGATTACTTTTTTTTAGCAATAAAGTATTTTTAACAAGGTATTTTTTTAAAAGACATAATGCTATTGCATGTTTAGTAGACTACAGGATAAAATAAACATAACTTTTAATATGCACTGGGAAATAAAAAAAATGTATGTGACTTGCTTTATTGTGATATTTGCTTAATTTTTGTGGTCTGGAACCTATCCCGCAGTATCTCGGAGGTATGCCTGTAGTCCATAAACTGATAAAGACATTTCTGCTTTAGACAATATTTTGGGGCATTTATTTATCAGTATTGGAAGGACTTGGTTTTAGAACATTGTTATTTATGATATGAACCCTGACAGCAGCATTGTTATAAGATACTTCTGTATGTATTTGCCAGGATATTACCGGTTTTGTTTTAATGTACTACCTCTAATTTATTCTATATTATTTCTTAAATGAAATCTTGCTCAGCAAAAAAAAGGAATACCTAATACTTTTAAATTTTCAGATATTTATTTAATATTATATGAAGCCTAATGCTAAAAGCAGGAATTTTAAAGGAAGGGTGAGTAACAACTTCAAGTTTTCACATTCATTTGGGATTTTCTAAAATCAAATTGAGACTCAAAAGAGAAGTTTGGAAAAAACTAAACAGGATTATTACTAAAGAGTATGGCACAAATTAAACCAATAGCACTTAGAATTCTTTTCATATGGAGAGCCAATTAACCTGTTGTAATACTGATCCTATTGATTTTAGTCCTTACTTTTCAAGGAAAACTTCATTTTGAAAGTGCACTTATTTGGGGGCACCACTTTTGCTTCATCTGTTCCATTCAGCACTTCTTCTACATGACTGTCAGGGAGTGGGAGATTTAAGTACTTTTAAAGGAACCTAGAGCCTATTAAATAATACAGGAGACAAATTTCAGAGATACTACTATTTTAATCATCTTCACGAATGTAGAAACCTTTGCCGTGACCTCATCACATGAGAAATAAATCTAAGTAAAAGATTTTTCAATATAATCTCAGAAGTTTGTCATGTATATCTTTTGGTATGTTTTAAAACCCATTTTCTTCTTTTTTGGTTCTTTTAAAAGGTGAAAACAGTCTTTACCTTTGAATAGAGAGGATAAAGCTATAAAATATCATGGACTCTAGAGTGACCTTTATTTTCTTTTAATAATTTCCAATTTCTTTAACTGTGATTTCCTGTTTAAGTCTATTCAAAGATGCATTATTTTTGGAGTTCCTACCTAGGAAATAACAAAAATAGTTTTTTTTCCCATAAGGGATCGTCTTAGATTTTGAATAATTTTTCCTCATAATAGCTTATGATTTTTAGTCTTTACTATTAAAAATAAAACACTTTTTCAGTAATCAAAAAACTATTTTCATTAGTCACGCAGAACCAAAATTAATGTTTTAATGCTTAGCATATCACAGTGCTATGAAAAATATTTACAAAGGACTTAGAAGATTAAATAAAGTGCTATGAAAGCCATTCTTTTCCTACTCTTTAATTTCCTTCATGAAAAAGTGTAATTTTTCTTCCTAATTCACCTAAATTTAGAACACTGAGATCTAGCGAAACTATTAGAATAATAATTATACGACTCAGTTATTAAGTCAAGAACTGTTCTGGATTTTAAACACATTAATTAAACTCTCCCATAACTTGGCTAGGTGTGTTTCATTCTTTTGCTTCTACAAATGAGGAAACTAAGGTTCAGGGAGGTGTAAAAATGACCCATAAATAAGTGGTAAATGCAGTGTATGAAGTCTAACTCCAAAGCTTGGTACCCTTTCAAGAGCCATAATGATTATTACCAAGATTTAAGTTATTTTAAAGAACTGAGCAATAAGAAGTTGTCTGAATTAAATAATCTGGTATGTAGAGATACGAAAAATCAATATTCTTCCAGTTAAAGTGTAAATATAAATGTCTTGTATAAAGTCTGCTAAATTCTTTATTTTTCAAAAACAGTATTATACTTTTATAAAATCATACTGATTTGATAATCATACTTTCAAAAAGTCTACAAAATTTTTGTTTCCTTCAGGTTCTATTTTAGCATCTACTAATGAAGAAGTGAAAATTGGACCAGAGAATGGCCAATACTTACGTCACTGCATCTGATGGGTATTGTCTTGCTGAACCAGTGCAGTACTACGGTGTGTAACAAAAAACTACAGTATAATAGTTAATAAAACTTTTTTTTTTGGTGGGAATTATGGTTAATTAGAGGGGTTTTTTTAAAAGAAATTAACAAATGAACCAAAGACTTTCAATTACTCCCTACCAGAGAATATAATTACTTTCAAAAATCAGAAATACCAAAATGCTGTAAGCCAGAATCAAATGTAAAGAAGAAAAAGCACAGTAGTCTAAAATTGTATTCAATTTTTAAAAATAGAATTAGCATGCAAATTATAAGTTATTTTTAGGGGTTAGCTGAAGCTAGTTCACATGCAATTTAGAAAATGTAGTTCAGAGTAGTTATTCAATGTTCCTGAAACTTTAATCTTAATATAAGATTTTTATCAAAGGGAAAGAAATAGAAAACAGAGTGCAAGAGACAATAGGATTTTTCTCCAAAAAGACCAAGATTATAATATGAATTGAATTTTAAATGCAGTTTTCTTTTATATTATACTTTGAACTCTGATTTCCATGCCAATGGAACATCAGCCAGTATTCTGCAGTCTTTTGATATTCAGCCAAGAAGGGCCCTCTTCTTTAAATAAAAGTTACATTGTTTTTACTGATAACTTTTCTTCTTATATCAGGCTGTTATTGGTATTTATTCAACACTTTGCATTGGATTGGATGCTATCAGATTGCAAATAATTTATGTGAATTAATAGAAATTATACTGTTTACCAATCTTGGGGTTAGAATTTTGAGGGTAAGAGTAAGTCTAATCATCTTGGGATTCAGCACCAGGAAAAGTACAAATATTACTAGATACAGACATAGAGGAATTAAGTATTCCTGGGTCTCTTTGGAGCCAATTTTCTGGATTGATTTCAGTAATCCTCCTGAAAACAGAAAGTAAGTTGGTGTTTGGTAGCTTCTGATAATAACAATAAAGATACCCATTAAGTATCATTTTGTATTTTATACATGCTTTTGCATTTCACATTTTATTTCATTCTTACAGTCACCCTCCGGGGTAGGTAAGTTTATCACCAGATAATTGAATTGCTAGACAATAAAACAGAAAAGAAACTAGTAATTTAAATCAGGTCTGCAAATGGCAAAGGAGAGTGTTAAGGTATATTAAATGGGGAGTTTAAAGAGTTTATTTTTTGCTTGAAATAACCAGATAACTGGTATAATTGTATTTTAGTTTGATTTGTTTGGTAGGGGGGGTGGGATAATTTATTAATTCATCTCTTTACTGATCTGATTGCACTGAAAACAATTTTATTCACAACAAAGAAAATACAGAAGCTGGGGAAAAGCTTTCATTTCAAACTCCGGGAAATACTCATTTCTACTTCAGGAAATAGACTGCATTGGTATGTAAGCCATTAACAACCCTTTCTCCCAGCTCCTGAGCAACCTCTGCATACTTCTGGGGTGGCAGCATTTATCATGCATTGCAATTCAGTTTACTGTCTGCCTCTCATGCTGGACAGCAAGTCCCTGGGATGTATTGGACATGTTGAATTAACTCTGTTCTTTGAGTGTAAAACTCTTTGAAATTTGAAAAATAACTTGACTTTCACCATTTTTTTTGTGTGTGTGTGTGTGTTAAAAAAACTAGATATTTTGCCAGAACAAATCAATTATCAGCTGTACGACATTGATTTTCAAGAATCACCTTATTGCCAGTATTCTACTGTCCAGTTTCCTCCAGCTCTACAGTCCCAATCTTTACAAAGTCATTTCAACACTTATAGCTTGGACCCACAGTTCAGTGGTGGAGAGTATGGACTTCTTTCCTGTGAATTAAATAAATCCACTTACGTGGTTGCCCACGATGCTGAAGATGGTTACCCTGGAATAAAAAGGTCCAGAATAACTCATTCTTCCATTCGTATTAAGGGACAGGAAGAACTCTGTGTAGTTTGTGGTGATAAAGCATCAGGATATCATTACAATGCACTTACTTGTGAAGGTTGCAAAGGTAAGGATAAAGTTAAAACTTTAATCCTAGTGTTCACTGAAGAGTCATGAAATTTTAAGCATGTAGGAGTACTCTCTTTAAAATGTGAAACATAAAATCAAGGAGAGCCATTGATATGTTTAAAGTGATCAATCTGTGGGATCAAAGATGTGAAAATGGGATTTAACAAAGTTTTGATTTCATTTTTTAAATTTTGATGAAAACTTTTATATTTAAATATAAAATTCAAAATATTTATGTGGCAGAAACTTGGCATGTTCCTAGGTGAATTTGATGTTGGAATAAAAAATGTCTTTTAAAAAGGTCTGAATGTTAACTATTACATCTCATATGGCTGGTATAATTCGTGAATTAGGAAGAAATTTCAATTAAATGACTTCTACGATTCTATCTAAGTCTATTTGTTGGAAATGCTTTTTAGGAAATATTTATTTATTTTATTTTATTTTTAAATTTTTTGCTGTGTGGGGTCTTAGTTGTGGCACGTGGGATCTCCACTGCGGCATGCAGGACTTTGGTGTGTTGCGCAGGCTATTTGTTGTGGTGCATGGGCTTCTCTCTAGTTGTGGCGTGCAGGTTTTCTCTCTCTAGTTGTGGTGCTTGGGCTCCAGAGCACGTGGACCCTGGAGTTCGAGGCACGCGGCCTCTCTAGTTGAGGCAGGTGGGCTTGGTTGCCCCGCAGCATGTGGGATCTTAGTTCCCAGCCAGGGATCGAACCCGCATCCCCTGCATTGGAAGGCGGATTATTTACCACTGGACCACCAGGGAAGTCCCAGGAATGCTTTTTTGAAAACCAATGGGAGGTCTACCACTGAAGATCATCATTGATATTGGCATGGAGTAAGGAGTAAAATAGTCCTTGATGAAGTTTTGAGGTTTTGAAACACTTCTGCATTTTTTAAATTCACAAGTGAAATATTGGGGCAGAACCTGGAAATGATTAGATTAATACAGGACTAGGTAAACGTGTCTAGAAGTTCAAGGTGAAGTCTTATTGTCAGAATCTCACACTCACCCCACACAAAGAATAGCCAAACGAAGACTAAGGGAAAGGAGGTACCAGCTTTATGAGTAGAATAGCTGGGCCAGTATTTGCTTACTCTTAAAATGCAGGGCCTTGCTGTTAAAACTAAGTTGAAGAATGAGGCATAGTTCTGAAACCTAAGCTGAGCTTTCTATTCCCTTTGCTGAATCTAAGTCATGAAACTCCCACTCTCAAGCGTGTCTACAGAAAGAGTATGGCAGGCTTCTAATTGGGGTATTGACTAACTTTATCAACTTCACTGCTTGGAATGGAACAAGAGGAAGATAGCAGGGATTGTTGCACAGGAATGGGAAATGAAACAGGAAATGGGAAGAGACTGCTATGCATGGATTTAGGAAAATGTAGAATCTCCACACCTCTCCCCAGAATGCACACACACACACACACACACACACACACACACGCACACACACACAAAACGGCCCATTCAACGTCTTGGACTAAATAAATTAGCAATATGTTCTCATCTGGGGAAGTGCTAAAAAGGAAGGACAGAGGAGTAAGTTTGGAAGAATTATCTCTTCCTTTATGAGTTGAGGTAGAAATGTGAGGCGAGAAAAAGAGAGGTTTCCTTATAGTTTTATTCTACATGAGCACGTATTCCTTCTAGGGAACCTTGAGAGATGTGTCATGGAATCTTGATATTCTGTAAAATATAGTTTAAAAATGCTTTTAGATGGTATATTATAACCATAGAAAACAGAGAGTTGTTTTAATGTGTTGGGGTTATTTAGTTTAATTTCCAGATAGATTATTGACAGGAACAACCATGGAATAAGATATATCAAATAGGAGAGGATTAAAACAATTATCCAGATAAATGTATATTAAACCAAACCTTCTTACTGAGGGAAAAAACATTTTATTGAAATAATTTAGTTAACTTGATTACTTTTACTATGAAGGTTAAAAACAAGTAACTAAAAATACCTAATAGTAAAATTTTAAAAACTCTCCTTTGTTATTAGGGTTTTTTCGACGTAGCATCACCAAAAATGCAGTATATAGTTGCAAGAATGGTGGTCACTGTGAAATGGACATGTACATGCGTAGAAAATGTCAAGAGTGCAGACTAAAAAAGTGTAAGGCAGTAGGAATGTTGGAAGAATGTAAGTGCCATTGTGGTTTTTTTTTAGGGGGATTTTAGTTTTTCTTACCTTACTAGGAACTTACGTTCTTCAAGTTATTTTGAACATATTTGAACATAACATATTTGTCTGGATTTAAGCTATTTCTCCAGCAACTGCTAACTTAGGATAGCCAGTTACCAATCTAGGTAATTATTTCCATAAAATCTGTTCTATACTATATTGCTCTAACTTTGGTAATAATCATATTTTCTTCTTAATTGGAAATCCTTGTATTTTTATATTACTTAACCTAAAGTTATATAATTCAACTACAAAAAGCACAATTTTAAATTAGTGGTTTCCCTTCAATGTACCAATTAACATTCTGTTGCTTCCAAGATATAATTAATGTGGAAATTTCTCTAACATAAAAAGGTCTAAATTTATAATTTGGAGATGCAAAATTAATTTTTAATTTAAGTCTAGGATGACTGTGCAGTTTTAAGTAGACAGGTAGTTGTGGAAGGAAAAGAAGTAAGTAATGTAGTAAATTTACCTGCTGTTGTACATGCTTACCAAAAAAGAAAGGTTCTTTGTGAAAAGGCAAGTTCATGATCACATATGTGTACAATGTAAGACAATTTTCATCAAATCCTATAATGTTATTTGTTGTACCAAAAATATTTTATGTGAATTTTGTAATATCACAGGTTTGCTCACAGAAATCCAATGCAGATCAAAGAGGCTTCGAAAGAACCTTAAGCAGAAGAATAATTTTTACTCTAACATCAAAATGGAAGAGGAAGGGGTAAACAACAAGCTTGTGTCACCTACCACTAGATCTGGAAAAGTGGCAAGACTCTCCTTAAAAAATTTCTTGTTTCTTTAATGATGATGTCTTATTTAATAGGTATGCATTATAGTTTTCCCCCTATATTTTCTTACAGATTCAGGAGAGCATGGAACTAACTCAAGAGGAACATCAGCTCATTAACAACATTGTGGCCGCTCATCAAAAATATACAATTCCATTAGAAGAAACAGAAAGATTTGTATGTGTTCATTACTAGCAAGAAATAATTTGTAATTAATTATGTTAGAAAATAACAGCATAATCAGAAAAGTTTAAAATTTAAAGTTATTTGAAAGAAAAAAGTTATTAATCTTATTTCTTTTTGTTGCTTAGCTGCAGGGATATGCAAATCCTGAACTGATCTTCTTGCGACTCTCAGAGACAGTTGTCCTACATATACAGAGGTTAATGGATTTCACCAAGAGACTCCCAGGTAATCACTTTATCTTTGGAAAAAATTAAAGTAATTTAATACGTAACTTTAAAAAAGTTCCTTGTTTTAAAGGAAGGTGGCATTTTAAGAAAACAAAACCCTCTATTTTTCTACCAAAACTGCTTCTAAATTTAAAAACATGTTTACTTTTTTTGCTTTAATCAATCAGTTGGATGAAAATATAAATATTTTAAAATATTATTCAAGTGACTTCAAAGACTTAGAGTTAAGACAAACTATGATTGACTGTATGTTTTATTTTATTTTTATTTTGGGAAATAAATTGTTTTTGTTTTTTAGATAAAACATGAAACAAAATTCCCTGTACCATACCAAAAAAAAAAAAAAAAAAGGTGAAGCCATTGTTGGCCAAAACTTAGCTATCTAGTTACGTGCACAGGTAACTCTCTGTGAAAATAAATTCTTCAAGGCTAAGCCAACTATGTTTAATTTGCTCTTGCCATAGGAAATAATTATTATCTGGTTCTGATGAAAGTGCCCCCAAACAGTACCATGTGGAATCATAATTATTCTAAGGGACCAGTTAAGATTCGTATCATAAGTAAATAATATAAAAATGTTGAATCCTGGGCTTCCCTGGTGGCGCAGTGGTTAAGAGTCTGCCTGCCGATGCAGGGGACACAGGTTCATGCCCCGGTCCAGGAAGATCCCACATGCCGTGGGGTGACAGGGCCCGGGAGCCATGGCCGCTGAGCCTGCGCGTCCGGAGCCTGTGCTCCGCAACGGGAGAGGCCACAACAGTGAGAGGCCCGCATAACTCAAAAAAAAAAAAAAAGTTAAACCCTATACCTGAAAATTATCTTTTCATTATTTATTTCAAACAATTATGTGATCTTTTCGTAAAGGATTTGAAAATTTGACCAATGAGGATCAGACTGCATTACAGAAGGGATCAAAAACTGAAGTGATGTTCCTTCATGTGGCCCAAATTTACAGTCAAAAAGAATGTCTTTCATCAACTTCTGAAAGCAAAAAAGGTCAACTAACTCAATCTTAATGTTAATAGTTACTATTAAATTTAGCAACAGATTATAAAACATTGAGCTATTTTTTATTATATTTTTATTGTACTAGTTGGTGTACAAATAAGTACTTCATAATAGTGGTTTATAGTTTTCCAATTCATTGTTCTAGCTTTTGTTTTTCTTTTAAAGAAAGCCATTCTTCTTATATAGTATCATAGAAAACACATTTTTGGAGGGTCTTCTATATAATGTTTATATAAAGTGTGAACTATTATTCTAGATTCATGTTTCAGTAATAAAAATTATAAAGATACCATTTGTTGGGAATGTTTCCTGTTTAACAGATGTTAGAGAGGTTGACTTTACTATCTGAATAAAGATTTTAAAAAATCAGACTTTATATTTTTTCCCTTAACTAGGTACTATGAAAATATCAGATCGTTCAGATCATTCACTGAATTGTCATGATCAAAGTGGTGATAGAAGTGCTATTTATCCTATGGAAACATTTTGCAATGAAGGTTGTCCTTCTGCTATGCTGACTGGTAATATTATATATAATACAAAATATTGTATTGGATGGAAAAAATTTGTCAGACGTGTTTCATTTTCTTGTACTGCTTTGAGAAAATATGATAATGGCAATATGAGTCTGCACTGTGTTCTGATGAAAATACATTTGATATTAATCTTTTTAGGTATTTCTGAAGAATTTATTACTACACTGTATTACTTCTGTAGAAGAATGAGTGAGCTTAGTATTACTAATACTGAATATGCTCTGCTTGCAGCCACAACAGTGTTTTTTTCAGGTAAAAAACTATTTAGCAGTAAAAATTTGGATTAAGTTTGGCAATGAAATCATGAAGATTGTGATTATTTTATTACTCATTGATTCCAAATGTACCAATTTTCATCAAAATAGCCTTCTCTATAAGGGCATTCCCTTCAGCTTACAAACATGCTGTAATTTCTTGCATCTTAAAAAAATGCCGTTTTTTTTAAACATCTTTATTGGAGTATAATTGCTTTACAATGGTGTGTTAGTTTCTGCTTTATAACAAAGTTTTTTTTTCTTTTTTATATTTGAGTTTATTCTTCATTTAACTTTTAAAACACTACTATAGTTGAATATTAAAACAAACAATAGCAAGTAGTGAGCATATTATGATTATAGTCTTTCACTCAATCACTACTGCAAATAAAATGCCAGCAGTGAGTGTTATTCACTGGCCCCATTAGGAGGTCTGACACTGAGCACCACCCCAAGGATGATGTTCATCATCCCCATATGCTTCTCCATTGTAATGGCACTGTCTTTCCTGATTTGGATCAAAGTCCACTAGTTCTACCTGGTCCATTTCATCAGTCTCTTCTACTTCCTTCCTCTCAGGTAGGAGTTTTTCCAGCAAAGAGAGTTTATCCGGGGAGAGAAAGCCATTCTCAGGAAAGTTTACCTTAAATTCAATGATTAGGTGACCCTTTTCATATGCTCTACGATAAATTGGCATGCCTTCATTTAGCACACACTTGATATTTCCATGCTTGACAATCTGACCTGGATGAGAAGTGATGACTATGGTTCGGTTGTCAAGAGTAGATATTGGCTTTTGGAAGCCACACAATGCCTCAACCAGCTGTATGTCCATACATGAAAAGGTCTTCTCCTCGTCGAGTAAAAACAGCATGGTCCTTCTGATCTAAAATGATGATAATATCTCCTGGCTCAAGTCCTGGTTCTTGGTCTCCTGCACCATGGAATGTTATCTTCTGGCCATCTTTCATGCCTTTGTCAATATGAACTTCTAGAATTTTCTTCTCTCGAACTATCTTCCTTCCATTGCAGCTTTTACATCTATCTTTAGGACTGATCCGCTCCCCATGGCCCTGGCACTCCATGCAGACAGACTGAATTTGCTGAACCATTCCAGGTCCTATCTGATGAATTCTTATTTGCATTTCAGTACCTCGGCAATTGGGACCGCACTCTACTGCTCCTTTCTTACCACCTTGGCCTTCACATTTGTCACAAATCACATTCTTTTGCAGAGCTAGTTTTCTTGTTGCACCATACATATACATATACATATATCCCCATATCCCGTCCCTCTTGCATCTCCCTCCCACCCTCCCTATCCCACCCCTCTAGGAGGTCACAAGGCACCCAGCTGATCTCCCTGTGCTATGCGGCTGCTTCCCACTAGCTATCTTATTTTACATTTGGTAGTGTATATATGTCCATGCCACTCTCTCACTTTGTCCCAGCTTACCCTTCCCCCTCCCTGTGTCCTCAAGTCTGTTCTCTACGTCTGTGTCTTTATCCCTGTCCTGCCCCTAGGTTCTTCAGAACCATTTATTTTTTAGTTTCCATATATATGTGTTAGCATACGGTATTTGTTTTTCTCTTTCTGACTTACTTCACTCTGTATGACAGAGTCTAGGTCCATCCACCTCACTACAAATAACTCAATTTCGTTTCTTTTTATGGCTGAGTAATATTCCATTGTATATATGTGCCACATCTTCTTTATCCATTCATCTGTTGATGGACAGTTAGGTTGCTTCCATGTCCTGGCTATTGTAAATATTGCTGCAGTGAACATTGTGGTACATGACTCTTTTTGAATTATGGTTTTCTCAGGGTATATGTCTGGTAGTGGGATTGCTGGGTCATATGGTAGTTCTATTTTTATTTTTTTAAGGAACCTCCATACTGTTCTCCATAGTGGCTGTATCAATTTACATTCCCACCAAAAATGCAAGAGGGTTCCCTTTTCTTCACACCCTCTCCAGCATTTGTTGTTTGTAGATTTTTGATGATGGCCATTCTGACTAGTGTGAGGTGACACCTCATTGTAGTTTTTTTTTTTTCTTTTTTAGCGGTATGCAGGCCTCTCACTGTTGTGGCCTCTCCCATTGTGGAGCACAGGCTCTGGACGTGCAGGCTCAGTGGCCATGGCTCATGGGCCCAGCTGCTCTGCGGCATGTGGGATCTTCCCGGACTGGGGCACAAACCCGTGTCCCCTGCATCGGCAGGCGGACTCCCAACCACTGCGCCACCAGGGAAGGCCCTCATTGTAGTTTTGATTCACATTTCTCTAATGATTAGTGATGTTGAGCATCCTTTCACGTGTTTGTTGGCAATCTGTATATCTTCTTTGGAGAAATGTCTATTTAGGTCTTCTGCCCATTTTTGGATTGGGTTGTTTGTTTTTTTGATATTGAGCTGCATGAGCTGCTTGTAAATCTTGGAGATTAATCCTTTGTCAGTTGCTTCATTTGCAAATATTTTCTCCCATTCTGAGGGTTGTCTTTTTGTCTTGTTTATGGTTTCCTTTGCTGTGCAAAAACTTTGAAGTTTCATTAGGTCCCATTTGTTTATTCTTGTTTTTATTTCCATTTCTCTAGGAGGTGGGTCAAAAAGGATCTTGCTGTGATTTATGTTATAGAGTGTTCTGCCTATGTTTTCCTCGAAGAGTTTTATAGTGTCTGCCCTTACCTCAAATCCCCTTTCAGCTGTTCTCCTATTTCTCTGTTCTACATTATAGCAAAAAAAAAAAAAAAAATTTTTTAAGAGTTGTCTATACTCCTGCCTCCATTTCTCTCTTCTCATTTACTTCTGAACCCAGTACAGTCAGATTTTGTCCCCTCCTTTCCCTTCCACCATAACTTATCAAAATCTTCAGTAATTTGGCATTGCAGATTACAGTGGTCAATTCTTAGTCTTCATCTTACTTGACCCGTGAGCTACATTTGACAGAGCAGATCACTCCCTCTTTCTTAGAACACTTAACATTTGGCTTCAGTTGATCACTCCTTCCTTCTTGACATGATTTTTTTCCACTTGATTTCCAGGACATTTCACTCGCTTGGTTTTCCTCCTCAGTTGCTGCTCTTTCTGTCTCCTTTGTTAATTCCCCCTCATCTCCCACACTGATAAATGTTAAAATGTCCCAGGACTCAGTTCTCTTTTTTCCTATGTGCACTTCCTTTGAAATTTCATCTTATCTCATGGCTTTAAATGCCATCTAGAGGCTGACAACTCCCAAATTATATACCAACCTGGACTGCTACCCTAAGCTCCATTAAATAGCCTACTCAAGATTTCAATTTGGATGTTTAGTAGGCATATAAAATTTAACATGTCTGAATGTGAACTCCTGATTGCCCCCGATTCTCCTATATTCTTCCTCCATCTCTACTAAATGGCATCTCCATACTTCAAGTTGTATAAGCCAAAATTCTTGAAGTCATCCTTCACTTCTTTTTCTCTTATGCCCATTATCAAATATGCAACAAGTCTTGTTGGTTATAGCCTCAAAATAGATCCAGAACTCAACCACTTCTTACTGTCTCTGTCCCTGCCATCCTAATAAAACTACTAACTCACTTTCCTGTTTTTGCCCTTGCCAGGGTCTATTCTTTATACAGTAGCCAGAGTGATTCTTTGACAACATAAACCAGATTATGTCATTCCTCTGCTCATAATCCTGTAATGGCTTTCTATTTTACACAGTTTAAAGCCAAAGTTCTTTCTATCGGTGTCTATTACTATTCCTTTTGCTCACACCACCACAGCCACTCTGCCTTTGATGCATATGTTGCCTGTAAATTTCAAGCAGACTCCTTCCACAGCTTCTACTGTACTTGACAAATCTTCTGCTTGGAAAGCTCTTTCCTAGATAGTTTCATGGCTCCCTCTTCACCATCCTGGATCTCTGCTAAATGTCATCTTATCTCTGATTACTCTTTTAAAAATAGCTAATGCCCCTCCCCCCCAAATTCTTATCCCGTATTCTCGCTTATTGTTGTCATATATTTTTATTTAAAAAATGTGTATATGTCTCTTTCCTCCCCTACTCCTCCCAGACCCCAAAAATAAGCTCAATGAGGGCAGGAAATTTAGTCTCTGTTCACTGCTGTATCTCCAGCACAATGACTGGATGAGTGAATGCTGTCTGATCATTAAGAAATATTCTTCATAGAGTATTATGAAGATTAAATAAAACATTGCATAGAAGCAAGTTACCTGGCATAAAATCTGGCATATATTAAAGGTTCAGTAAATATTTGCAATTTTTATTATTTAAAACTGTATTGTTTTAAATTAATTCATTATCTTCTACCATTTTCCAATATTCATTAAGATATATGTGATAATGTTTTTCAGATCGTCCATGCATTACAAATAAGCAACATGTGGAAAATTTACAAGAACCAGTTTTACAAATTTTGTACAAATATTCAAAAATTTATCATCCAGAAGACCTACAGCATTTTGCTCATCTCATAGGGAGGCTCACTGAACTGCGAACACTGAATCACAACTACTCAGAAATACTTAGCTTTTGGAACACAAAGGACTCCAAATTGGCTAGTTTACTCTCTGAGAAATGGAATTTGTATTCACTTTGATGAAATTTTAGAGTGTTGTGGTTTGTCTTAAACTTCCTAAATCTAGATTGTTTATGCTACGATCACAGGATACTGATTTGAAAAACATGAACAGAATTGCTGTTACGAATATATCGCCATAAAATGGACATCATCAAGGGCTCATCAAATTTTGTGGAATTTAGGACCACCACTAGAGGGACATCTAGTATTCTTTTTAAGATTCGTCCCCAAAGAAGCAATGGTTATTGTTACTGCGTGGTTCGTTCAGAAAGGAGTAGTACTAAATAGAGTTCTTACCTGAAGAAACTCTCTTTTTTTTCATTTAGTAGAAAATTGAATTAAAATATATATATTATTTGAAGACATAAAAGAGATTATTTAATGGAAACAGTTGTAATCAGAATAAAAGCAGTTGTGAACCTCTTTAAGGCTAGATTGATGGATAAGGAGCTAACATTTTAAACTTACTTCTGTTATAGCATTTTATAAATTATTAAAGAGGAACAAAGCTTCGTTCAATTCTTACTTTTCCTTAATGTCTTTTTTTTTAAGATTCTTTTCTTGATGTGGACCATTTTTAAAGTCTTTATTGAGTTTGTTACAATATTGCTTGTGTTTTATGTTTTTTTGGTTTTTTGGCCCCGAGGCATGTGGGATCTTAGCTCCCCGACTGGTGATCAAACCCGCACCCGCTGCATTGGAAGGTGAAGTCTTAACCACTGGACCGCCTGGGAAGTCCCTTAATGTCTTTAAAAAAGAGATCTTTTATAAGCCCCAATTAAAAATTTTGTCATGGCAAGATACTGAAAAAATTAAAATGACAAAATATGTTAACATACATTGGGAAATTCAGCACAATTTAATGCTCATTCTGGTAGACAATATTTTGACATTTTTGCCACCACCTTTTGCAGAAAAAATAAAGTTCTTAAAACCTGAAATCTTACCACAAATATTTTAATCCTTGTAAGAATAAGATTAATGTTAACAATTTTTCATGTGAAATACATGAAAGTGAGAAATTCTATGGAAGCACAATTGTTTTGAAAGACTGGATCTGATTAAATAAAATACTGTGATTTTTAAGTTAATTTAATACTAGGAATAGCATTTTGTTTTCAATACAGAAAAAAGACCATAGTTGAATATTTCACTGTTGTAAAACTTAAAAAAATTGGAATATTGAATTTATACCCTCAACTTATAAAATATATTAATTAAATGTATCAATTATTCCCCCCAGGGGTTATCTTGTGCATTTATTCTTGGTATCATCTCTTGAAGGGAGTATTTTATCTTTTTCAGGGTATCTAGACTGTTTCATGTAAAATGAAAGGCTTACACTGGATCATCCTTTCTAGCTCAAAATGTAATTTTATCAGAAACTGTTCCGTCTGGTAGGTTAAATTTATACAAAACAAGTTGCTTAAAAATATTACTAAAGTCCTTTGGAAAAGCATCAATTATACTGTAGTACATGGAGAAAGTTAGAAAACAAAGTCAATATGTTGAAAACAGAACTCATTGTCTTATTGCTCAAACCTAGGTACCTAGCACCCACAATATTTATTGTGTCTAGTAGCCAAAGTCTGAAACCAGGCAGTCATCTTAGACTTCTCTCCTTTGCTGCTCACTTTAAAAAAGCCATCAAATCCTATTAATTTTCCTTCCTAAATATCTTTTACATTTGACACATTTTCTTCATCTTTACTGGCACTGTCATAGCTCAGGTCTCATACCTTACTCACCCAGGCTATTAAAACTGTCTCCCTAACTCCAGTCTCATAAATCTAAACCATTTTTCATACTACAAATTTTCTTCTGAACTTGATCATGCCCCCTTTTCCGCTCAAACTTCCTCAAGATTCCCATCCATAAAGGCTAAAATCCAAAAGCCTTCGAGAGGCCATCACATCTGCTAAGTCTCCAGTCTCATCATTTTCCCATTTGCGTCCTCACACACCTACACCGCATTGCCTGGATCCACTCACTCTTTTTATTTTTTTTTATTTTTTGCGGTACACGGGCCTCTCATTGTTGTGGCCTCTCCCGTTGCGGAGCACAGGCTCCGGACGCGCAGGCTCAGCGGCCATGGCTCACGGGCCCAGCCGATCCGCGGCGGGATCTTCCCAGACCGGGGCACGAACTGGTCGGCAGGCGGACTCTCAACCACTGCGCCACCAGGGAAGCCCCCTCAGTCGCTCTTGGACTCATCTCTCTCACGACTCCAGCGCCTTTGCCTACCGTCCCTCAGCCAGGAACACCCCTTCCCGCATTCACTATCTAGCCAACGCTCTATTCACCCTTCTGTTTTCTACGGAAGTAGTAACAAAAGTGTACCACGTCCGTGAAGCTCTCTCCTGACTCCCAAGCCACTGTAAAGGCCACTGTCCCTTTCTAAGGGTCCCAACAACCCTTAGAAAATTACTACCGTTAAATGATTACTGTTTCTTCCCTAAGACTGTGAGCTCTTCTTAGAGGACAGAAATAGATTTTTCACTCTCAGCTCCATTCTATCACAGCACCTGATAGTTTTCCTCACATTCTTTAACAATAGGAGAAGCTTAAAGAAGGCCAATTCTAAGGAGAAAGAGTATCCAGGGAAGAATTGCTATTAAGGTAAAGGGAAATCTCGCGAGATGTAGGTCTTGCGCCCCGGGTCAACGGAGGTCGCCGACCGTTATTTAGCCGTTAAACCTCCAACCGCCCTGCACCTCCCTCCTGGCCGCTCGGCTGGCGCGATATCCCGCCTTTTCCGAGGTTCGGAGGCAGAAGTTCGTGTTGGTTCTTTCTGCTGCCCTAATAGACAGCAGGTGGCGGTTCGCGTGAGCACCGAGCCCGCGGTTTCCCGCTAGTTTTTTAAAGGTAAGGGCAGGTGTGCAGAGTTCCCTCCCTGATGATTGAACCCAGAGCTGGGCGACGTTTTGTTACTGGCCCTCCCACACGCAGGCAGCCCCCGGCGCCATCTGGCGCTTTCTCCGTAGTCGTCTAAGCACGTCAACTAGTTCTTCCCGGCGAGGTGATGCAATTTAACAGGGCTGGTGGAGGTAACGGGCTTCTTTTCAGGCTGTCCCGGCGATGATGCCTAGTTTGAGTTTCTCGATTATCCATTGACGTCGCCAGCGTGGCCATTGGTGGTGGGGGGATGGTGGGGACGAATAGGGGATGTTTCTGCTTTGAACACCACGGCAGTAAGGGACACCGTAGGCTTCCATGGTAGCAAATGTTTCACGCATTCCTTTATATACCCATTTATTATAGAATAAGTAGTGCATTAATGAAACAATTTAAAACACTTTCTCCCGCATCTTGAGCAATAGATAATTACGACTGGAAGAGAAAATGGAAAAGCAGAAGCCCATTAAATTGTTTGTACCACCGAGATTAAGTAGCAGTCAAGTATCTGCAGTGAAACCTCAGACTTTGGGAGGAGATTCTGATTTCTTCAAGGTAAATTTGCATTTACTCATTAGGTAAATGAGGCAAAGTGAACTTTCTTACTGGTGATATCTTATAATTTTTTTCAGTAAATATGGTCTGATTTACCCAAGAATTTTGAATAGCATTTCTTTGAATGAATAATGAGCACACTTAATGTGTTTAGGCATCATTCATTTAAAGAAATAATTACTGGTGCTTTGGAATTCTGCATACATAATGGGACCTGCTTACTTTAATCCTCTTTCTTTAAATGATTTACAGCAACTTATGAACATATACAATGAAATAGTAAAATATAAATTAGAATATTAGGATCAAGGAAAATTAAGAAAATTTGGACAAATATGTTGACATACTGGTAAAAATCAGTGTTTGAGGTTAAAATTTGACTCTGAGCTTCTGGGTTGACAGGATAAATGGGAAGTTCGTACGTGTAGTAGGTTCTTATAGGAAAGGAGGAATAGAGCTTTTTTTAGTAATTTATTTAAATTTCTCATGTGGGGACTTCCCTGGCAGTCCAGTGGTTGACTCCGCACTTTCACTGCAGGGGGCATGCGTTCAGTCCCTGGTCAGGGAACTAAGAACCCACATTATGCACAGTGTGGCAAAAAAAAAAAAAAAAATTACATTAAAAAAATAATTTTTTAAAACATCTTTATTGGGGTATAATTGCTTTACAATGGTGTGTTAGTTTCTGCTTTATAACAAAGTGAATCAGTTCTACATATACATATGTTCCCATATCTCTTCCCTCTTGCGTCTCCCTCCCTCCCACCCTCCCTATCCCACCCCTCCAGGCGGTCACAAAGCACC